TTTGTTCGACAATAAAATAACAAAAATAATGGACCGTTTAAAAATTATTTAGGTAAGTATGAAAACACTTCAATAGGTCCTAACACTTTGAATAACACCTCTAAAGACTTACTTCAAACGTTATTCCCTTATATGAATCCACCTGGAGAAGACTGGATCAAATATGGAGATTGTAAAGAATGGGCTCACGAAGCATGTACTGCTTATTCTGGTATAGGTTCCTATTTTTGTGATTTTTGTCAGGAATAGTATTTAACTTTGAATCTACAACGTTGATTATTATGAAAGTTTTAATAATTGTTTCTATTTTCTTTATAAGTTTGATCTCAATAATAGGTATCTCTAGACTGATTAAAAGAGCCTAAATATAGTTTTGTATCTAATGTTATTCATAAAAGTTAAAGATTATTTTACGTATGTATGATGTTATGCGAATGAATTTGTTATATGCTAAGTGCCAAAAAATAAGGTTCAATTATTAGCTTCCTGCCTTTTATAATTATGATTATAGTTTATCTGATCAATGATGACACTTACCCGTTTTACCCTAGACTTACCCGTTTTGCCCAAAGGAGGTTACCCTTTTTAAGCTCATATGCGGGCAAAACGGGTTTTTGGTAAGGATTTGTATTTTTTTATTAAATTATTATTTGATACAATATATTTTCAAATTTGAAGAGATGCAACAAAACCTACGGTAAAGGACCTAATGACTATGACTGGTGACTATGTTTAAGTTAGAAAAAAAAAATCTATTGTGTATAAATTGGTTATTGTTTTAGTTCAAAAATTTAAATTTAGTCTTTAAGAATTGTATATCTTGCGACAAAATAAAAATAGCTACATAACTCCATGGTTTTACGGAAAATGTTATTAAAATTGCGTGAGTTACGCCAATACAAATTTGTTTCGTCTTGAAAAGTATGAAACGTCAATCGGTACCTCTTAGATAAGATGGACTATAATGTAATCAAGAAATAATTAAAATCAGATACATTTATAACATTCGATGCTTTTGCAAAAGCATCGATATTTCAATTGTAACATGATTTAAAGTATCGATTCTTGGCACATACTTTTTTGGGTATCAATGAAGATCATGGCCAATTCGCACTAGCCGTGAGTGAGCTGTTCACAACGGGTAAGAAGACCACCCGTACACTGCCGTGGGAGAGCCATGCTTCGGTACGAATGGGCCGGCTCGACCGGAGTGATACCACGGCCTCACAGAAAACTGGTGTTAAGCAATTCTTTCGTTGCCTTTCACTGAGTCAGTGAAGTTACCGGAGCCCAAATCCACCCTCCCGCTGACTCGAGCGGGAGGGACTCCAAGGGCGGCTACGCACTTGTGACTTGAGTTGCGGGTGTCCATGGGCGGCGGTGATTGCTTGCCATCAGGTGACCCGTCTGCTCGTTTGCCCCTTTTACCATAAAAAAAAATTTTTTTTCGCTCAGTGATCTCGATTACCTTGTTAGTCGTGTTACTAAAATACATTAGTTATTCTTTTTTAAACTTAGTTGCTTATCTTTCTATCATTTGTTTGAAATTAAGTATTTTTGACCAAAGACCTAATAAGTGAAAAAATATTTTTACTTGGTATCATGAAGTGTCATACTTTTTTTTCAACTTCAAAGTAGGTTCTTCTTTCTTATCCTTGTTTAAATATTAATTATTTCGATAAAATAACTTGCAACAATTTGATCTGATTTTTGAACCTAATCCTTCTTGATATAATTTTAACGTTTTGCCGAGGCCCAAGTGCGAGTTTATTTCACATCTACGCGCTCGCTTTTGAGAGCGAGTCGATGTGAAATAAACTTGCACTCGGCCCTCTGGTCTCTTCAGACGGTCAACTACTCAACAACTTTCTATGGTCTTAGGGCTAAAAAAATTAATTTTGTAGGGGCGGCCCCGTTTTTTCAGCTTCGGGCGCCATTAACCCACGCTACGCCGCTGTCAATGCCCATTGGTTTACTAACCATTCGGCGAAGTTTCGCTACTCCCTACCAGGGGTCGGAGCTTGATGTTACCATAACCTGTAATCTTACTCAATGAATAACTCTATTGAATACAAAATAATCATTTAAACAAACAAAAACGCTTCAGATTTCCTTTATTAATATCGTATAGAAAATATATACTCACTTCGGCGTGTAACCAACTGTTTTGTAATCGGATTACACAATCTGTTTAATAAGTAGTCCTGATTATTGCAATCATAATTATTACATTCAAATAACGATGACAGCTACTTAGATAATTGTTACTTTCAAGAATAAATAGTATACAGGATATAAGGGACGGTGTAACGAATACTGAAATTGTGTATTCAGACCATCATTCTCAGTCGAAAAACATTGGAAGTTTCTGCTGAATATTCACATGAATAATTTGTTGAGCTATATGTACTAAGTTCTTATTATCTGTGGTCAACACCGTTTGTACTTATGCACTATTTTTTATTGATGTACAATGACAAAGTTATGATGACTGGAAGTAAATGGAGGTTAGTTCACCAAGCGGTAGGTACACCAGTTAATAAAAAGCCAGTGAAGTATTAAATAACTATATTTACATATTAGAGAAACAACGCCGTTAGATATACAATATTAAACACCGTGAAAAATAAAAATATGAAAAAAATATAAATTGTCCACCAATCTATTAGACACAAATATTCGTAAAATTTATGATAAAATCACAATGAAACCCTTAGGCCTGACAAACTTAGTCGCTTTTTGTTTCCACTTTATTCTGTCTCCATTTCTGATCCTGTAATTGACAAATGTTTTCTCTGAATTCAAAGGGTAACTTAAAACTAAATGCCAGTTTTAGTTAATCTTGTGATTATATATTTTTCTAGATACAAATATGAAGGCAACAAATACGAAAAGAAGTATTTATGTGTTTCAAGAACGGAAAGTGTAGACGTCACACTCAAATTTCAGTTGCTTGTGTAGACATATCACTGTGTTTTTTTTATAGACGGGCAGATTGGACATCTGAAGGCCTAGTGTGAGTTTATTTCACACCAACTTGATCGTCACGATGACCTCGTCCGGCGTAGCGATTGGCCCGCACTACACCAATCGCACGCAACTCAAGTCACAAGTGCGTTGGGGACCCTTGTTAACTGTAATTTGAGTGTGGGCAAAAGTGAAGTGACATAATTATTAGTTAAAATATAAATGTGGGGTACACTGTACTATTGTGCTGCAAATGACAGTGAAATAATACTCACAAACAGCTGCAATGGCCCTAGGTACTGCAATTTTACACTCATAAATCAAGGTTATTCCAAAGTTTTTTTGATGGTGTATCCAGTGAAATATATAACCACAAGTCTTCCACCAAACTCTAATTCGTACAATGGTCGTAAAATGGCATGCCTCACACTGTGTTTTATCTACTTTATGAATACGAAATACCCTATGCTCTATTCACAGTTGCTTGTAAATAGAGCATAACACGATGAAAAATAATTTATAAGATATTTACATTTCATACCATAAAAGTGGCAAACGAAAAACCTGCCCGGCTGTAGGTAAACGCAGTATCAGGACTGTCGCTAGCATATTAATAAATTCTACTCTTTCTCAACATGTCCTTGCGTCTCTACTCAATTCTTCTTCAAAATAATGATCTGCTGTGCCTTCCTCCTTTCTTTCGCTAACAGCATGTTAGGTTAGTTATTTATGCTGGTTAGACCGTTGAGGATATACTGCCCCAGCATAAACGGTCCTCCCATTACGAGCTTAATAGGCTTAAGCCATGTGGTGTGTGGTCGGGTACAAACCATGTTATTTATTATATAGCTATTTTATTTATTATACGCCGAATCTGCCAAATTAATAATATTGAAATGCTTATTTATGGAAATATCATGTTCTGTCTGGATCGTCAAGTTTCTATCTACTCTTTCTAAGTATAGACCAGACATAAATAAGTTAAATTGAATCAATGTAAGAGAGTTAAATGTCACATCCATCATTTATAGCGTTTGTTTGCCACTTCAATTGTATTTTATAAAAATCATATAATAACGATGCTCAATTTAAACGCAACCTCTAAAGTTATGAAACTCATAAACACAAAACTGTAAAATATTGTCAGGAACGTACAACAAACATTAAAACAACACAGATAAAACGACTATTACACTACCCTACATTATATACACCAATATTACAAAGTATTTATTAACGGTTTTCAAATGAATGACATGATGATTAAACACCTACAGAAGATTTACTTACCAATTCAAGCCAATCACCGCATGCACTGATAAATGTAATTTTTTTCTTAAAAAAAGTTATATTTTATCAGTATTGAATTTTATGGTACCACTTAATACTCAAGATATGCGGTTCTATTCACGCATGCATTTAAAAACGGTCCGGTCCACGGTCCAAACAAAAGGAACCTTTGGCACAGTATTTTGTAGCAATTACCAAGCACTATAATCCCCCTCTAAATTAAAATTAAAGATAAGCCTTGTCTAAAAGAGTTACGTCTAACTAAAGACTATGAACTCTTGCAACAGACTTTTATCAAAATTATTTGTTATCATAGTTCCACTTGTGATCCATATTTATATATATATATATATATATATATATATATATATATATATATATATATATATATATTATTTTAAGTCGATTTTTTTATATTATTAAGAAAAGGACTAAATTGACATTATTTTTAGAAAAAAAGTGTTTATTAAGCAATACAATCATTGTTTCTTTATGATATTTAGCGTGGTACAGATAAACAGAGGGTAACTTTGTCAGAAGGCCAGCTGTACGACTTAATTCAAAGCCGTAGTACTATTACGATTATAAATGATTGACAATAATGCCACCGAGCCCACGGTAAAAAGCCAGTAAAGTGGTATTTCTAAAACAAGCGAGTACCATGAGCAAACAACCTTCACCTTACACGATTCTTTATACTTATTCCATGTTTAAAAAACCTACGCTTGATAATGAATCGAGTCTTTTATGAACTAAGACAACTAAGTCATTAGCTTAATACGTATCTTTGTTTTCCATTAACAAAATATTAAGTTTGTTGAAAACAACACGACTTCCATCAAAGACGAGGATATTGACTAACAAAAAAATTTAAATAGATAACCTTCTAGAGCGAAAATTATCCGGTACCACTCTGCGATAACAGTCAATTGCTAAATACATTAATACATACAACATTGGTTGTATGTCACGAAGCTTGAACATCCCGGTGTCTCGCTTCACCTGGAGCCAAACTACACAAATTGTTCTTTAATTTTTTTGTTTTCGCACTTGTTTTCATTGCTACATCTCAATAACTTTCAATCTTTTCGGTATAAAACATATCATGTTTTTTGAACTGTCACAATCAGTAATGTTATTAGGGCATTTCTAAACTATCATAAAAATAATGATGTATTAGGCACAAAAAGTAGCTCAAATTTTTGGGAAGTTCACAAAAAGTTCTAAGGACAAACACGTTGATATTATAAAAATATATACCTAGTAGACTAGATACAATACAAACTCCTATTATTTTTAAAGGAATCCATTTAACTGTTTTAAGTTTTGCGTTCCATAATGATAATAATAATAGGGGTTAAAGTTTGAAATTGCCGTTGAATAGCAATAGATACTTTGAATTGACATAAAATCTTCATAGTGTGAGATTCTTCTTTAAAAAAAAATTGCAACATTCGGTTTTCGACTATCAATTTTTTTTTTCAGCTCAGGCGTGAAAGATGGATACTTCGAAAAGCCGAGTAATTTTTGAATACGAGTTCCGTAACTAACGCTCTGCAGAAACGGCTCACAATAGGTGAATAACGCTGAATTGAAGGAGATGGTGGAAGCCGTTCCGAGTCAAACTAGCCAGGAATTATCGGCATGGTTTAACGTTACTCTACCTACAATATTGACTCATTTGCATCAAATCAATAAGATTAAAAAAAATGAAAAATGGGTGCTTCATGATTTCACTGATCTGCAGAAGGAAATACGTGTTGAAACTTGTGTTGCGTTGTTGAATCGGTATAGAATTGAAGGATTATTGGATCTAATTGTGACATGTGACGTAAAGTGGATTATTTACGATAACCGTAAGCGAAAAATGCAATGGCTGACTACAGGTAAAAAAAAAGGTAGCTGTTTGGTGGTCTCTTCAGAGAACAGCAGATGTTTACTGTGCTGAACTTCGAACAATGATGGCGAAGCTGGCAGTGAAATAGCCCCGTGAATCGATCTTTACCAATATTGCTCCATGATAAAGCAAGACCTCACACTGCACGAGAAACCGCTGTAACTCTATAGGAGCTGCAGTTAGAAACCATACGTCATCCGCCGTACTCGCCAGACCCTGCTCCAACGGACTACCATTTTTTCTGTGATTTGGAAAATTTTCTAAATGATCAAAAATTAAAACGAATATATACGTATAAGATATTAACTCCAAAAACACATGTATATGTATACATGTACATTATACGTATAACTGTCACAGCTGCGATGCTTTGTCCTTGTTTATCGCACGAAATGACCGGAGCTTTCTTTCGTTCAAACTCATCTGAAGCGAAAATAATTAATTTATATCATAGCAACCATTGCTTGCGGCCATTTTTTAACTGGCAACCATGGATTATCGTGTACAGCAAATATTACACATCAATTTGATGTTTATAAAAAATTTATTAAAAAAAAACAGATGACTGTACATAATTAACAGTGGCAACCCATTATTTTTTAAATTCTTTACAACATTTTTTTCAAATGACGGATAATTTATTAAAAAACATACAGTTGCAAATTATAAAAATAAACTAATTGCACTAAATTTCATTACAGGTAATTGCGGCTAATTTTTTAAAGGCAACCGGGGACTTATGCATTGTATACTCATTAATCATTAATTTAAAAAATTAATGATTAATATTATTAATTATTATTTAAATTAAGTTTTATTGAAAAAACAGACACCTGCAGAATCGAGCGGTGAGATCTTAGGCTAGGCTAATGATATCTTAAAACATAATAACAGTCGAAATTATAGAAATATCACGTTTTTCTCTTTCCATCATTTCTACACAGAATGTTCTTAAAGCAACAAAAATACCCGAAACCTTTTAATATTTATAAATGTAGGCAGACAAACATTTGATTTGCGATAGACAATGGAATGTAAACAGCAACAGACCGATTACCGCAGAGTGGAGTTTAAAGAGCGCTTTATAGTGATGCAACACACGTACCAATGTCGCGAACTCATTAGATAGCCGGTAGGCAATCGCTCGTAATTTGTATCGTAGCTTCAAACGTCCCTGCAATTTCTTGCGTAACGTCTGCAGTATGGTGTACATGTTGAAACAGTGCAATGTAAGAAACAAAGCCGCCAGGTAAGATATCTGTTGAACGGTGCAAAACAAAATATAAATAAAAAAATATGTAAAAACTCAACTATAGCTGAAAAACAAATTTATTCTATCAATGCATATAAATAAATAACACAACTATAAATAAGCTAAAACAACCTATAAATACCATCGAATAATATACACAGCATAAGTACAATGACACTAGGTTTACTGGTGCTTTGTTAGCTTGGGCCAAAATATTGTTTATGGCCTGTAAAATATTACATATTTCCGATTACAAATAAATATAATACTAAGTCCACTATCAATATTTAAGGATCTAGTGCACATGTATTTATCTCAGTTCAAATAAAAAAGTCAAGATGGAACTTTGCGAAGAACGAAGTGAGGCCGGTTTTATAAACATGTGTGCGTGGGCCATCATTATTTTATTGAAAAATATCGGTTTCTACGCTTACGTATGTGTCAAAGTTTAGTAGTTTTAATTGGCCTCACTTCTTTGTTCATAGAGTACCATCTGAACTTTTTTATTTGATCTGAGGTATTAATTAATATTTATCACTTTGATATCATATGATTGATTTTAGGCATACAAGTTACAACGTTATTCAACGATTAAAATTATGACTAGTCGTGCTACAAGATACCAATTGCTGACATTATAATAAGCATCATAACAACTAATAAATTAAGTCGGTTAATCTACATATTTTGTTTAAATCTATTACCCCGGTAATAACGGAACAAAAGAGTACATGGGGCATACCAAAATTTTCTAGAACTTTCTAATTAAACATCTCTGGGAACATATACTTTTCAATTTGCGAGATTAGTCATTTATATTCTTATTGTGGCGTCGTTTACAAAATTTTGGATCGCTATTATAATGAATTTCATTCGTGAAGATTTTCGTTTAAATTGTGAGGGCGTATACTTTGAAAAACCTTAGGTATGTCATATATCTAATATCTGTTCTTATTTACCAGTATCCTGAAACTTTCAGTATTACCTAAGTACAAAGACATGTAGACATGAGACAATAATTTAAAATCTAAAATTCGAGCGGATTTCATTCGATGTCGGTACTAACACTAAATATACATACAAAAAATGCACACAAAACCACTCGTAATAAATAAATAAAAACCTATTTGTGCCTTACTCTAGGGTTTTAAAGTGCCAAAACATGCAGAACTGTTTTAGAATTAAAGAAACATTATTACAGAAAAATATAGCAAAAGTAATTATAACATAATTTGTTAATGTATTGAACAAGAACTATTAAACGATTATTTTAGATTTTGCACGTTAATTAACACTGAGAAATGCCGGTTGGATCCATAATTGTAACTTAATCTCGATTAAAAAATTGCAACCTAAAAATGAGAAAACAGTTCGAGATTATACTTCGCCTTGTCTGTACATATATACATAATATAAAAACATCAATAACCATTAAGTAACTCTCAAACTTGATATCCAAAGTAATTTTAGAAACTACTCATACAAAACGAATAAATTGTGATACTTTCATCGACTAAGTAGTCATTTAGCAAAACTTTCCAATATTGCATTTTTACAAGAAGTTCCCCTAACGAAAACAAAAATATTATCTACTCTTTGGTTTGAAATGCTAAATGACTAACCATATGCTCTCAGCGGCTTAATAAAACAAAAACATTTAAGTCAGAACATGCGTATACTTTAAAATGAAATAATAAATCATGCAACACAAGTAGAAACCGAAATGCGATAAATATTACTGATAATTTTCAAGATATCATGTCATTAAAAGTTACCTATTTTATTAATGGTAGATGGTTTTTAAAAGCAAACACTTATCTTTACAATAATATCATTGAAAACGTAAGACATAGGTTATATAAACATCTTTAGGATGCAAAACATATAACCTTCTAAGACTTAGGTGCCTTCGAAAAGAACAAAATGGTGTTAATCTTTAATTCCTAGATAGTATATTGTAATATATGACATTATGACCGAACGTCCGTCATTAAAACAATATAAATATCTTTAGTGAGTCCTGAACATTACGAGGCGGATTTTCACCTAGCTCCTGACCACTGAATGCAAATATCGCGACTTTATTTCAATTTACAGAAATAAAAACGTATTTTACTGTTTAGGTATCGTCATTTATGTTTCAAATAATACTTAAAAATTGTTCATATTCATACAATGTTCGGTCATGACATCAGTAATTTTATCTAGTCGTTGCACTGGATTTCATTTTGGTTTTTCTGACAACTATTTTAAAAAGCCTGTCAAAAGGCTAAAAGACTTTTGTACCTATTATAAAATTAATGAAAATAATAGACAGATAAATTATTACATCGACGAATTATTTACAAAAAAAATGCATGATCGTAATTTATAATTTGGATCCCGAATGTAATTTATTAAGCATACAATATTACAATCGTTGTTCAAATTGATAAGCTAGCGATAAATGAGAAATCTTTTAATAGCACAACACTGGGTACTATTTCAGCTCACTTATCGGTTTTCTACAAACACATTATCTAATAGAATACCGATTAATATGATAAATAAACATAGATAAAATATATTTTGTGCGATTTATTTATTGATATATTATGTATATAATATTAAGAAACCTTATTGAAATACTTCTGTAAGCAACGTTTGTAACAAAATATTTTTTCACTGTAGTTGTTCTTTCTTTCTTAATTATTATAAATGCACTGTATCATTATAAAAATATTTATATACAATAAAAAATCTCTCAAAGATGAATACAGAAAATTAAATGAAATATTAAGAAATAAGGTATAACAGTAGATAATTGAAATAACATAATTATTGATAGACATTAGCATATACAAATAAATTTATCAAAACAAGTTTGCATAGATTGTATCATTTATGATTTGCTTTCAGATCATACAATCCGCACGCGATCATTCTTAGGAATTTAGATATCTATCAATACAAAATGCTCACATGGGGTATTACCATAAACATTTCTTTATTCTACAAAAAATACTCATAATATTTCTAAATATTATAAACCCTGTGTAAGAAGTATACCTTTTTATCGGTTTTTAAATAATCGCGTGCGATTTATCTAGAACAAAGAATAAGCATTTCCATACTAGATACTATGGTTGAAAAAAAAAACAACTAATATCTACCAGTTGGTCCAAATTAGTACAAGATAAAGTATATCACGCTACGAATACGAATGCATTGATATTAAAACACATTTTTTAAAATATGATAGAGCTCGATAAATTCGATTTTTATAATATTTTATTTATTTATTGAATTTATTCCTGCGAACATATTGCATAAGGCGGACTTAATGCCTCAGGCATTTTCTTCCAGTCAAACCTTTGGGTGTTGCAAAGCTGTGTGTGGCAGGTGTATTTTTGGGACAGGTAAAGAAATAAGTAAATCTGCTATTAAATAGTAACAATAAAAGAATTCAGATATTTTTATGTGTACCATATATAAAGGCATATTACGAAACCTGCAATTATTCACATAACAATTTCATAATGAAGAAAGATTTTAATTAAAAAAAACCGTAGTGTTTCATATATTTAGTCATTGATATCAAAAGGCCTAAGTAAACTTTACATTTTCATAACGGCACAACATTTTAATTTCTCTTTCAATAGAATATTTTCTGAAAGTACGTAACCATTGTCAGAAAACACCTAAGCTAAAAACCGCGTTCGGTTTACGTAAACTATAACCGCTTTTATAATGGCATCCGAAAGCTGTAACGTGCCACTAATGTGAGAATTGGGCAGACTTTAAAATCCTAAAAGACAACAAAAACTCCTCCCAAAAGCTCCTGTTATAAATACTCGTAATAACTTAGACAACAAACTAATATCGTATTTGTAGAATGTGGATGAAAGTGGAGAGTGAAGTCTGCCCGATTCTTTTTAATATATCTACATGTACACAACACAGGCGTGCGGCTTTGAGGTCCATTTCGGTCTTAGTTCCACTGTACCTGTTCGTTGAGTTTCTGCGGTATGACGAAGAGAGTCGTTGCGAAGTTCCCGATGCCAATCAGCAGGAATGACATACTTAACGCTGGGACCTGTTGTCGTTTATTATAGGACATGCGTTTTATTTACGTATTTTTATGTGCAGTTATTTTCTCACCGACTTAATAACTACTAACACATCAACTACTTTGTAATGTGTATTAGGCTATTTTATCATAAAAGCTGCTCTAATTTTAGACGATAAAATTAAGAGTTAATTAAGTTTCGGTTTTCGGTGGTCATCACCAGGTCCTGCCCCAAAAACATCATAAAATATTTTGTTTTTATACAACCCTTTTTATCCAGCTAGCTACAACTAAATCAATGAGAAATGTCCACCTGAAAATTGTCCTCATATTTTTTTTTGATGGGTTTAATATCTTCCCTGATGTTAATTATGGCCTAGATCAGTTTCAACCGCACGATATTAAATATTCTAAAAGTTTTCTACACATTGTCAACAAATTTTTAATAGATATTATTACTCAAAACCAATTCCAATCATATTTTCTTTGTACACATAACATTTTGAAAACGTGATATTTATTTTACGTACATTGTGCATCGAATGATTGCCTCATAGCTTGATTTTTGTGGGCTAACAAAAATCAAGCTATGAGGCAATAGAAAAAATTAGAAGAAATTTCAAATATAAGACATGTCTATCGTTCGACATTGTATTATTCATATATGACTTACATGAGAGAGAAAATATGGTTTATATGACTGATATAAACCATATTGTCTATGGTTTATATGAGAGACAGTGTTCCATACACTAAATATATCCAAACATTTCTTACCTGCCAGGTGGCATCTGGATGATAACTGAGGCTATATAACGTATATGCTATGTATAACTGAAATATATATCCTCCAAACAAGAACGGCAGTAGATACGAGAGACCCCGCCACATCCACGAATGGAAGCCTTCTATTGTAATATCCATATTATGACGAGCCCCTAATGCTTTTAGCCTGTACAACACTCCACTTTGGTATCTGAATTGCATGTATTGAACTACACCTGTAGAAGAAGGAAATATATACATTAATACGCAAAGTGAATTCTTGCGTTTTTAAGGCAATTTTATGAAGAGTTATATGAAATTTGAAACACTTAAAGTTTATGATTTAAAAAATGAAAAACCTGACTGCAAAAGAACAATTTAAAAGTAATGCACTAAAAATATGGTAATGATTTACCATTTTAAAATCCTCATGATGAGCCCTTTAATTTGATAGGTACCCATATCGCAGTATCCAAAAAAAAAGTTTTTAACTTTAAACACAGCGTTCATGTTGTTTTTTTTCGCGTCACCTATTTAAGAGCACTTGGGTTACCAAGACGAATCTAATGATATGGTAATTAAGTAAATCCGTGCAGGGGTTTGGAAGGTATGGGGTAATAAAGAATATTACTTGTATACATAAAAGATACGCGCGAAAAACATAACCCTTTCTTAGCAGTCACTAAGTTTTACCAGGACAGGACCCCTGTTACTTTTGGTAACTGTTTTCATATTTATATATATAATTATTACCCGACTGCCAAGAAAGGGTCGAATTTCCTGTCAATCTCTAGTAACTAGTGGCTTCTTACTTCAGTTAGAGATTACTGATATTTTGTTTTTACATTGAATTATATTTAGTTTTTATTACGACAGCATTCAATTTGATTCACATTATTAAAATTAAGTATGAGACTTGCTGTTTTATTCTAAATTACTTTATGAATTGTTGAATTTACAAAATAATTGTACCTATAACTAAAAAAATATTTTATTAATGATTACCGAGAATACTTTGCCTTCTCAAAGGGATTGGAGTCGTCCGATATATTTTTCAAGGGCATTCTTACTTAACAGTTTTTAAAGTTTATTTTAAATAAAACCGTCATGATGGTTGAATTTTCACATAAACAGCAGAGAAGTGACACTTACATGACAAATTTAAATTTAAATACCTACCAGTACGTAGAAGAGACAAGAGCTTAAATATCGGTTCGTTATCAGTCATACAAAAAATAATGATTGATCGAAAAATATTGATGAAATTTATATCACAAAAACTTAGCCGGTATGTATTTATATGACGTCTAATTTGAGTGTAAGTTCTTAAATTTAGATAATGAGAACGTAAAACAGAATAACAAATAAGCAAATATGCACTAAGGCAGACTTTTCATTTTGTCAAACTATTGGTTTAGTCCTACGTTGTCAAAATATGAAACATCATTTGACAGAGTTTTGAAACAACAGAATTGGCACCAATTTTGCTAGAATATATATCTAAGGAAAGCATCACATCACACATCACATCAACAGCCTTTAATAGTCCACTGCTGGACATAAGCCTCTCCTTAGATAGGAGGTTTTCGAAAGGAAATCTTACAATAGTGCTATTATCTTGTTGTTTTGAAAATTAAAATGATAAAAATTCCTTTAAATCGACCCTCTATAAACATCACCGGTTTTTACATTCGATATGCTACATAACAATAATAAAGAGTCCTTACTGATGTACGCGATAAACCACATGAAAGTATGCCTAAATATGTTCCATGGTTCGTTCTGCGGCCAGATGAGAAGCACTCCAGCGACCACCGTGGATATGAAGTGGTGCAGCCGCCACCAACCCTTGATTCTAGAGCCATTCACTTTCAAAATACTTTCCCGGATCGTCAACGTACAGTAATACCATACCAGAAGAAACAGCAGTATTAATTGTAAAGGCCTAAAAGAAGTACAATTTTATTTTATATTATATATGTAGAATTAAAGTTTCGAGAAAAGGCTAGAAAACTGCAAATGAAATGATACTTTAAATGCGTGAATTTGACGCTTTAATAGCACGACAAATATATGAAATATTTCAATGGGATGAGGTCTAAGAGACAAGTGATACCTATGCATAAAATAATAACATGTATTTAAATGTTATAAACTACTACAGTGTGGGTACATATTACACAATAAATTCAATATTTAACAGAGTTGGCCATAACACCCTTGTATTTTGTTTTGTTGCAAAATCATTTTATTCTGAAGATATGCCTAGTAGATAGCATTAACATACCCCCTAACTCCCCAATATAGGACCATCTAATCATAAACTTAGCTAATGCTTCGCTAGCTTTCTTTTATAACTTCAATCTTCAAGTTTTAATATTAAGTACCTAGCACAATATGAGCGTTATTCAAGTTACATATTCTGCCTATCTCTTACAGAAACTATTAAAACAAATAGAACAGATAATTTTTATAAACGTATGTAAAATGGGCGATTATATTAGATTTCAACATAAGTCCTGTGACAAAAAGTTGGAGTAATAATTACCTGAAGTCTATGTACAGATTGGCAACAGCAAACACGAACGCAATAGCGCTGAGAATCAACTTGAACTTCTCATATTCATCTTTATATTTAAACCTGAAAAAATACACTGATGTAAACTAAACCTTGTTGTATCTTATAGTTTTACTAAATATTGATGTTAGAGTCGACTACTTTTATATTTTAACATAAATTTTAAAAGCACAAGTTATAAGGCATTAACATGAAAATTTTATTACACTCGAGAGCAATAATCCGGTTCGGATTGTAAATGACTACTTTCCACAGGTACACATGAACTGCCCGAAGATATGCTTGGGACATACTTAAACAAAAAAAAATTGAGCTCCCGAAGCTTGATTGTGAGACCAGGAAACACTACCCCGATGTGGCTTTTGAGCTTAAAATTTGAATTGGGGAGAATCCCCCAATATCGTATATAATATAAAATAAATTATATTACTTTTTTTGAGAATTTAATTGCCTATTAGTAACATTTTAATCCATGACCTAAATTCAATACTCAATCAATTATTACGATCCATAACGTACATAAATGGTCCTAAAAATATGAAAATACAGAACCATTATGGATCCTGTCGGGCACAGCAAAAGGTTAGAAGAGAGGAAGAGGGCTAAGCAGTAATAACTTAATATCTATTTGTGGACACAACTAAAATGAGTAAATAGCTACATATAATATGTAATATATAAAAATATATTCATTGCTCTCGAGTGGTTTTCTAGGTCAGGAGAAATATTTGAATTGAAACACTAGCATGGAAAAACTTGCTAACTTATATGACTTGAAATATGCAATTTCAAACATGAAAATGTACATACTATATTGCAAATTATGTTGTGTATAATTGATTTTAAAGTCAAATCTTTGAAAAACTATTTTTTTTGCATTTCATTAGTGAGCAGCATATTTTAATATAATATTTTAATGACTATAATGTAACATTATTAAATAGTTCCTTAGTAGCCTTAGCAGCCTATTTTTAATCAATGGTTAAAAAAGTACAAAACACCGTAAAATTGTGTGTTACATGTTTCTTTTTTATATATTAGTTTTCGTTTAATTAAGATTACAGCAGTATCTAAATCTAAATACTAATGAACAAAACGAAACTGAAAAAAACGTTTTTCAGTTTCGTTTTTATGTGAGTACCTAGTTCCGTTAATCATTTTATTCATTAATTAAGTGGCAAAAATAGGAAGTTATCTACATCTACGTATTTTTGTAATTTGTATGGCACTAGTCATTTTTAGACTTTCCTACAAAATATGTCAATAGAGTCTTTTACTCTATTAAGAAGTATTTAAAAATATATTATTAAGATAGGTCAGGCAAAAAGCAGTCAGAAAGTAGTTTTAGTGCATAAAATAACTTTAAAATTAAATTCAGTTTTCATTTTTTTTATTATATATTATTGAATGCTGTGAATTCACAATTTATCCGATGTTTTTACACTAGATTTTTTTGGTACATGTTCACCCACAATAAGTAGAATAATAACTGTTCTAATTTTTAACAAAATATCAGTGTATTTGTTTACAGGCGATTGACGTCATTGCCACAGAACAATATGTTGTTCACTGCGTACACTCAAATTTGAAAATATAAAATTTAAACGCATTTTTATGGCAGTTTATAATTGATGTTTTTATTGTGGTTTATTAGCACCGCAGAATCCAATTGAGACAATTTTCAAAAATGGGTATAATATCCTATTGAGAGTAGGTATTCAGGTATGGCTCACCAGTCTCACCGTTCTTAAAATAAGTGATTAGGTATACTATCTATATTTTGATAATATAATCAGTATATAAAAAAAGTTATTCAGATTGTGGCCTATATACTTAGTTAATTGACAATGAACACAAAAAAGGAAAAAACATCGGACGAATTTAAATAGCGCATCGAATGTCCTGCATGAATTTGTAGGTAGTACGTATATGTCAGGAATCGGTTCTCAAAGTAGTAACAAATTTAACTTTGTCATTTTAAATATTTTCGCCCGTACATCGATGCGTATCGATCGAATCTCATAAAATATAATGACCTTGACAAGTGTGAAGGTCAATATATTTTATGAGATTTATGGGCAAATTTGGGCTCCTTCTTTCTGTGTCACTTACTCGTCAATTTTCATGATAGAATCATGTACATATTCATCACCTATAAGGTCAATTGGATGAATGGTCTTGATTAATTTGCGAAATTTTAGGTTTAAATGACCATTGTGTCGATTCTGATGCTTTGATTTTCTTAATACTTCACAGACGTAAGTATTTTATGATGGAAACTTGAAATAATTTGTCTTGATTGTCAGACAGGCAACAAAGTGATAGTATAGGGGTTCCTTTTTACTTTTTAAAGAATCCTAAGTACATAATATTATTGAATTAACTTTTTGTTTCTACTACATGACCAGGACAAAGATAATGTTATGCAGTTATAATTTCTTTTCTAATAAGAATACTAGTAACACATTGACATATTTTACTAGTATACTTACTAGTAAAGACAGTCTCAACAATGTTTTGGATTTTTTCATGTAATTACATGTTTAAGTTTTAAAGTAAGTACAATGTACAAACTACTTACATACCTGCATAACCCTGTTGCATAATCATATTATTTGCAGTGGCACTCTTATCAGTATACATAATCTAGTTCATTGGATTATATCAAAATAAATTAATATTAGTTGTATGTTATGTACATACTAAAGTATTTAAACTGATAATAATATGGACTAAAATATATCACTAATACTTAATAGTATAATTATGATATTTCACCTTATTAGTGTTATGATCTATTAATAGTTTTGCAATTCGTGATTACAGGTTTGACTTTACAAAGTCACTGTGATCTGGCTAAGCCAGGATCACTTAGCACATCCGGGGTGTATGAATGGAGAATTCTATGTATATCAATAATAAATCATAGTACTAACAAGACAAAGTATTATGTAATAAACAAGCCTTTTTGCTCTATGTGTAATTTATCTATAATATATTTGTATTTAGAAATATATGTTTATCAGCAGTCTGATTACCAAACCCTGGGTAGTTTTGAATTAGATGTGTGTATAGAGTGTCTCAAGACATTATTATCTATGAAGTTGATTGTACACATTAACGTTAAACCCTATGACTTGACAGAAATATACTTTCAATGTTATATAAAGACTTACTTGTCATTTTTGTTGAGGATAGACACATTGACATTTCCAAGTATTATGCGCAGATACAAACTGTTCTGTTTTGGTAAAGTAGCTTTGATCTCATGGAGGATCGCTTTCCTTTTCATTATTTCCTTTTCTAAATTAGCAATGCGGTCATCTTTTGTGACACCTTTCTTTTCCAACCTGATGTGACAGAAATTATTTTTAAACCAAAAAACAAAGCAGATGATTGCAATATTATATTACCGGATTGCTCCATTAATTCAGTATTTACCAGTACTAAATTGTCTATTTTTTTAAGAGTTCTTGAGTAGACATACAAATGAAATTAAGTAATAAAAATCAATCAAGTACGATTAATGGGTGACCCTACTAGATTTGTACTAGTAGGGTGATCCATAAATGATACTTGATTAATGGTTATTACTAGTGTAGGGTCTAGTATCTACCTTCTTGATTAACTAGACTTTTTACTTAGCCTAAAAAATGATTGATAGGCCAAACTCACAGTTTGACTTGTAATCTATTATGGTTAATTTTTACATATAACAATTATTCCAAATGAACTCACCGTTTGACTTGTAATCTATTATGGTTTATTTTTACATATAACAATTATTCCAAATGAATAAAGAAAATTAATATGACATTAACACACAAGTCATCACAACAATAGATTTTTGTCAAAAGTAAAATGATTTAAAGAGTGGTTTATATAAAATATCATATTTATCTCTTTTGATCTATAACTATTTTCAATAACTTCTAATGTCTGATCTAGCCTGAGAAAAATCTAATAAACATACTCTCTTACTGCTATCTTGTAATTTCTCTCATAAAAAATGTGTTTCTTTTTTTTTAACCAATATCTTGGACCACAAAATTATGGGTTCATTGTTATATAAGTTTCTATATTGATGAATCATAGCAACACAAACATATTATTTTCAGCTCAGGTCATTACTATTCTATTCTCCATAAATAAGTTTTAGATAACACTTTAAATAAACTCAATAATCAAATAATGTGGCAAGTAGAAAGTGTTAAACAAAAGAGATTGAAACTTTATGTTAATAAACAATAAAGCATTTTCCTATGTATTATTTAACAATGAGTGATTATTAGACTACCAAATGGGAGGCAAAGGTCATATGTTTTAGTCATAACTCACTTCTAATTAATGCTAACAAGACAACAACATAACAATATATAGTGTACATGTAAACTTATCTTGGTTGAGAAAATTAATTTCAGTGTCTATATAAACTTGATAAGTATGTAATATACTTATTTGTTTACATAATACAATTCTCAAGAACGAGGAAATCATGATAGTAAATGACATTAAATGCTGCAATGTCAACAAATAAATAGGTCTGACCTTTTCATAGCAGAGACTATGACAGACATACGATACTTCTGGTGATTAATTTCCTTAAGGCATGCTGCTTGTAGCTCACCAACTTCTTCCAGTTTTGTAGCATATTCTTTACTTACGACCTGCAAAATATTCTTACTTAATAAATAATTTCATATTCATATTCCAATTCTATTTTAAAGCCTATACATAAGTACATTAAAGGCGGTGAAAAGTAAAATATTCTAATTAACAAATAGAATATTAGTACAACAATGCTCAAAATAAAATTGTATTAAAGGGTTTGTATGTATATATTCTTACTAGAACGGGTGACAAAAATTAAATGACATAAATTACCTCTAGACGTTTATAATCTGCAACCAAATCTTCCCATTCCTTAACACACTCTTCAACCTCCATTTTTGTAGTACAAGTAATTTAAATTACAGTTTCTTCACAATTAATTTATGAGATTAATGAGCGAACGTGATAATTCCATCACCGTTTATATGACCTTTTCCCATATGTCACCTGTCGGCGCAAGCTAAGCCCCAGCTGTCGTGTTACAGACTATTTTCAGTTAGAGATGTGATGTACGTATTACTAAGATATTTAGACGATTCCGATTCGTTAAAGGTGGTCGAGTTATACATATATCTCATGTAAATCAAAGACATAGAGTTATAAGGATAGAGAGAATATGGGGTACAGTTGCCTGTAAGTAGAAGCGATACAGGCAACGAGAGAGATGGATGCCCAATAGTTTCCTTCGTCTCTATTTAGTATTTTGTTTAGCTAAGCTGTTATTGGCTACTTATCAACCTTTCATATTCCCCAGCCAACCAGAGCTCGACTAGAATTTTATTTTATATTTATTGTAAGATTGGGGCTCTTGTTCACTCTATGTTATTTCTTTGTTAGTAAGTATTGCAATTACGTACCAAAGACAACAAAACTATGTTCGCTTTTGTCTCTAGTGAATATCAAAGCTAGCAGGCAGACAAACCCCGTGTTCTCACTATGCTTATATTTCTATGCTTACCGACGTTCTGAATGTTTACTAAAGACTCATCGGCTTGAACCGATGTACTTTGTTCGGGAAACATTTGGTAACATTAGTAAAAGTTTTAGATTAACATTTGTTTTATCTCAAAATAATGTATAAAATCGTTTTAAGTATATAAAGGGGCCGAGTTTTTTTCATTATCTCCACAAAAATGATAAGTTATGCAATGCAGAATGATGAATAAATTAGTAACTGAACATGGATAATATTTAAAAGGACGTTATCATGTCGATACACCTTTTTTATGAGGTTTTTTGATCAATGAAACACATTACAATGTTAAAACATTCACAATTAAAATTTTCGGTTGAAAATTCAAAACTCAATCAGAAACGAAACGAGAATATGAGTGATATGGAGGTCGATTTGAAAACGTTCATAAAACGTTTTGATTTGACAGATCATAGTGAATACCAAATTTAAACTTTTCAAATTATTGCAATTACTCGTTGTGAAAACGTGGCGTTACCGCGTTTTTTAATTGAGGGTTTGGTTTGCGCCCACATCCATAACAAAATACGTTATTTTACACAGCACTTATCAAGTTATATAAGAGTAAACAGACGAATAGCAAAATGTAGTTCATAGGGACTATTTGAAGTAAAACTTCTTTACGCATGCTTGACTTGGGGAGTAAGCTGGTGAATGAGTGACGAGAGCGGTTCAAAAAGTGTGATCGGTGAGGCTAACGGAATTTGCGAGAGAGATATAAGTTAGTGAAGAAAGAAAGAGAGAGAGCTCCGTTTCGTCTCTGCGGGTTCGAAACTTGTGTGCGTTACCCCAACAAAATAATGTCGAAAATGGTCATTTAAACTTTATAGATAATTAGTTGCTCCTCTTCTGTAATTGTTAGGCACATTTTTAAATTTGTTTCACTTAAACTTTTTTAGTTATTTCAAAAAAACATTTCCTGCTGGGGTAACGTTTGAAACGTTACCGCAGCCAGACATTTTCTTTTTTAATTGTAATATTGAAATAAATTTTACCTAAATAATTAGTTATCTGGACTAGGTAAATGTTACAACTTATTTGGTATTTGTATTTTCTTCGGCTGCGAAGTTATTCGAAATCCTGCTGGAGTAACGTTTGTGGGTTTGCTGGATCTCTGAAACGGGTAAGCGGATTGTAACCATCTTTTGTACATAACTTCTTAAGGATTAGTTTTAATTTGTTCGACAATAAAATAACAAAAATAATGGACCGTTTAAAAATTATTTAGGTAAGTATGAAAACACTTCAATACGTCCTAACACTTTAAATAAGACCTCTAAAGACTTACTTCAAACGTTATTCTATTGCTTGTAATTACCTTCAAATGTATACGAATTTTCGTAAGAATACCATAAGTGACTAAAAAGTTATGATGAAATGTAGCTCTCCACGTTCACGATCACAATGTGTGCGGCCTTTTTTGGCCACCGATAAACCTGTGTGTGGATATATAAACTGAATGTTATGCCAATAATTAGTTGTTTAGTTCAGTTGTCTACCTGTAGAATTTCAGCGTCGTACATATAATAATTTACGAGATAATTAAATAAAAGTCATTAGAAGGTGCAAGTCCGTGGTAATCCGACCATGTTTAGGTGGTTACAAAAAAGCGATCACCCAGTACATTGCGCTGTCTTTTAAAATGTTTAGTGTAATACACCTTACGATTTCGGTACAGTTGCGTACAGTGTTAAATACATTCAATATTTATTCATTATTATTACTTACCTATTATTTATTTTGTTTTTTTCCCTAATTGATCTTAAGCACTAGTTTCTTTACTTAAAATTTCTTTAGTCTTTTTTACTACCGGAGCTACAATCAACAGAAAATCTGCACTGGTCCGCTAAAATTATGAATATGTAGATACATGTATGAACGATTCACCTGACTGCAATAAATCGAAAATTTAAACCAATAAGAAATCGTTCCATTTCTTTGATTTTTTTTTAGTAAAGAAATAACACTAAAGTAGTTGTATTTTCTTTTGGGGTGTATAGAGCTTAGATTTGAATGCATCAAAATATTTAAAGCAACAAGTCATCTACAATAAGTTAAAATAGACCGAATAGTAGAAGAATACAGTTGTAAATTAGAATGCATCAACATTGCATCGCCCAACAGTCGTTTACCTCGTAAGAGTAGTAGGTAATATTGTTCTGTGGTCTATACCGAGAACCGAGAATTATCTATACCTATGTACCTACCGTTAAGCGTTGAGCCCGTGACTGTTGATTTCTGTTAAAAACGAACAGTTGTTTAATGATATTTTGATATAATAACGGTAATTTAATTTATCGAGTGAAAGTGATACATTTTTATAGATAAAATTATTGGTCAGATAATATTTGTCAATCAAGAATCGCTGATAATACATCCTTCGCTAGAACGCGGGAGGGGAGGGGCGAAGGGATACTTCATTGTTTGCAATTTGCATCTAGTGCACTAAACTTGACCCTTAGGCAGATAATATACGTGTTGTAAAGTACGTGTGCGCTTCCGTTTTCTATTTTTGCAAATATTTATCGTATTCTTGAGAGTTCTTCAATATGTGTGTACCTAATTACTAATAATGGGCATTAATGCTAATTCGATTCAATTTAAGTAATTGTCAATTCTTGTCTTAGGATATTAATTACTAATGCTAATATTGAAATTTCGTTCAGGGTGAACAAATTAAAAACGATCATAACTTGTAGGTAGGTATATCACTTATTACTAATTTTACATAAATAATTTATTTTATTATAATTTAACACACCACGATTTTGCGATTAAATATTTTATTTTCTCCAACATTATTACAGAAATAATGCAATACAGTTTGTTCGCGATATGCTAGCCTAAGTCGATTCATCACTTAAAAAAAATCCCCATCTATTCACAAAATACCTATTTACAACGCATACGTTACACTCTGCAAAACTTAAATTACCTATACCTACTCTACAATTAAACTTCAATTAACAAATACTACACAGGTACCAATTCTATGAACAACTATAAACAATTCACCTTAAAATTACGAGAAAACAAAAGCATTCAAAACAATACCTAATCTCCCGGCTAATTACTAATTATGCAATAAACAATCCTAAATAAAAATTATTTAAAAACATGTAGTTTTTTGTAATACTTATGTACATATCCGTAGTAAACTTGCAAATAATATCCTACATATTTTAAAAGCCAGCACAATGTACTGGGTGATCGCTTTTTTGTAACCACCTAAACATGGTCGGATTACCACGGACTACTACCTACAAGTTATTTTCGTTTTTAATTTGTTCACCCGGAGCGAAATTTCAATATAAGCATTAGTAATTAATATCCTAAGACAAAAATTGACAATTACTTAAATTGAATCGAATTAGCATTAATGCCCATTATTAGTAATTAGGTACACGCATATTGAAGAACTCTCAAGAATACGATAAATATTTGCAAAAATAGAAAGCGGAAGCGCACACGCACTTTACAAGACGTATATTATCTGCCTAAGGGTTAAGTGTAGTGCACTAGATGCAAATTGCAAACAATGAAGTATCCCTTCGCCCCTCCCCTCCCGCGTTCTAGCGAAGGATGTATTATCGGCGATTCTTGATTGACAAATATTATCTGACCAATAATTTTATCTATAAAAATGTATCACTTTCACTCGATAAATTAAATTACCGTTGTTATATCAAAATATCATTCAACAACTGTTCGTTTTCAACAGAAATCAACAGTCACGGGCTCAACGTTTAGCGGTAGGTACATAGGTATAGATAATTCTCGGTTCTCGGTATAGACCACAGAACAATATTACCTAGGTACTCTTACGAGGTATACGACTGTTGGGCGATGCAATGTTGATGCATTCTAATTTACAACTGTATTCTTCTACTATTCGGTCTATTTTAACTTATTGTAGATGACTTGTTGCTTTAAATATTTTGATGCATTCAAATCTAAGCTCTATACACCCCAAAATAAAATACAACTACTTTAGTGTTATTTCTTTACAAAAAAAATCAAAGAAATGAAACGATTTTTTATTGGTTTAAATTTTCGATTTATTGCAGTCAGGTGAATCGTTCATACATGTATCTACATATTTATAATTTTAGCGGACCAGTGCAGATTTTCTGTTGATTGTAGCTCCGGTAGTTAAAAAGACTTAAGAAATTTTAAGTAAAGAAACTAGTGCTTAAGATCAATTAGGAAAAAAAAACAAAATAAATAATAGGTAATAATAATGAATAAATATTGAATGTATTTAACACTGCACGCAACTGTATCGAAATCGTAAGGTGTATTACACTAAACATTTTAAAAGACAGCGCAATGTACTGGGTGATCGCTTTTTTGTAACCACCTA